CCCACCAAGTCAAACAGAAGAGGAGGAAATAGGGAATCTACCTGAAAAAGAATTTAGAATAATGATAATAAAAATGATCCAAAATCTTGAAAACAAAATGGAGTTACAAATAAATAGCCTGGAGACAAAGATTGAGAAGATGCAAGAAAGGTTTAACAAGGACCTAGAAGAAATAAAAAAAAAGTCAATTAAAAATTAATAATGAAATAAATGAGATCAAAAACACTCTGGAGGGAACCATGAGTCGAATAACAGAGACAGAAGATAGGATAAGTGAGGTAGAAGATAAAATGGTGGAAATAAATGAAGCAGAGAGGAAAAAAGAAAAAAGAATCAAAAGAAATGAGGACAACCTCAGGGACCTCTGGGACAATGTGAAACGCCCCAACATTCGAATCATAGGAGTCCCAGAAGAAGAAGACAAAAAGAAAGGCCATGAGAAGATACTCGAGGAGATGATAGCTGAAAACTTCCCTAAAATGGGGAAGGAAACAGCCACCCAAGTCCAAGAAACCCACAGAGTCCCAAACAGGATAAACCCAAGGCGAAACACCCCAAGACACATATTAATCAAATTAACAAAGATCAAACACAAAGAACAAATATTAAAAGCAGCAAGGGAGAAACAACAAATAACACACAAAGGGATTCCCATAAGGATAACAGCTGATCTATCAATAGAAACCCTTCAGGCCAGAAGGGAATGGCAGGACATACTTAAGAGTAATGAAAGAGAATAACCTACAACCTAGATTACTCTACCCAGCAAGGATCTCATTCAGATATGAAGGAGAACTCAAAAGCTTTACAGACAAGCAAAAGCTGAGAGAATTCAGCACCACCAAACCAGCTCTTCAACAAATACTAAAGGATCTTCTCTAGACAGGAAACACAGAAAGGTGGTATAAACGTGAACCCCAAACAACAAAATAAATGGCAATGGGACCATACCTATCAATAATTACCTTCAATGTAAATGGGTTGAATGCCCCAACCAAAAGACAAAGGCTGGCTGAATGGATACAAAAGCAAGACCCCTATATATGCTGTCTACAAGAGACCCACCTCAAAGCAAGGGACACATACAGAGTAAAAGTGAAGGGCTGGAAAAAAATATTCCACGCAAACGGAGACCAAAAGAAAGCAGGAGTCGCAATACTCATATCAGATAAAATAGACTTTCAAATAAAGACTGTGAAAAGAGACAAAGAAGGACACTACATAATGATCAAAGGATCAATCCAAGAAGAAGATATAACAATTATAAATATATACGCACCCAACATAGGAGCACCGCAATATGTAAGGCAAACGCTAACGAGTATGAAAGAGGAAATTAATAGTAACACAATAACAGTAGGAGACTTTAATACCCCACTCACAACTATGGATAGATCAACTAAACAGAAAATGAACAAGGAAACACAAACTTTAAAGGACACAATGGACCAGCTAGACCTAATTGACATCTATAGGACGTTTCACCCCAAAACAATCAACTTCACCTTTTTCTCAAGTGCACACGGAAGCTTCTCCAGAACAGATCACATCCTGGGCCATAAATCTAGTCTTGGTAAATTCAAAAAGGTTGAAATCATTCCAGTCATCTTTTCTGACCACAGTGCAGTAAGATTAGATTAATTACAGGAAAAAATTACTAAAACTTCAAACATATGGAGGCTAAACAACACGCTTCTGAATAACCAACAAATCATAGAAGAAATCACAAAAGAAATCAAAATATGCATAGAAATGAATGAAAATGAAAACACAACAACCCAAAACCTATGGGACACTGTAAAAGCAGTGCTAAGGGGAAGATTCATAGCATTACAGGCCTACCTCAAGAAACAAGAAAAAAGTCAAATAAATAACCTAACTCTACACCTAAAGCAACTAGAGGAGGAAGAAATGAAGAACCCCAGGGTTAGTAGAAGGAAAGAAATCTTAAAAATTAGGGCAGAAATAAATGCAAAAGAAACTAAAGAGACCATAGCAAAAATCAACAAAGCTAAAAGCTTGTTTTTTGAAAAAATAAACAAAATTGACAAACCATTAGCAAGACTCATTAAGAAACAAAGGGAGAAGAACCAAATTAACAAAATTAGAAACGAAAATGGAGAGATCACAACAGACAACACCGAAATACAAAGGATCATAAGAGACTACTACCAGCAGCTCTATGCCAATAAAATGGACAACTTGGAAGAAATGGACAAGTTCTTAGAGAAGTATAACTTTCCAAAACTGAACCAGGAAGAAATAGAAGATCTTAACAAAACCATCACAAGCAAGGAAATCGAAACTGTAATCAGAAATCTTCCAGCAAACAAAAGCCCAGGACCAGATGGCTTCACAGCTGAATTCTACCAAAAATTTAGAGAAGAGCTAACACCTATCTTACTCAAACTCTTCCAGAAAATTGCAGAAGAAGGTAAACTTCCAAACTCATTCTATGAGGCCACCATCACCCTAATTCCAAAACCAGACAAAGATGCCACAAAAAAAGAAAACTACAGGCCAATATCACTGATGAACATAGATGCAAAAATCCTTAACAAAATTCTAGCAAACAGAATCCAACAACATATTAAAAAAATCATACATCATGACCAAGTGGGCTTTATCCCAGGAATGCAAGGATTCTTTAATATCTGCAAATCAATCAATGTAATACACCACATTAACAAATTGAAAGATAAAAACCATATGATTATCTCAATAGATGCAGAAAAAGCCTTTGATAAAATTCAACATCCATTTATGATTAAAACTCTCCAGAAAGCAGGAATAGAAAACAGAACTAGAACAAATAATTTCACAATTTGTATGGAAATACAAAAAACCTCGAATAGCCAAAGTAATCCTGAGAAAGAAGAATGGAACTGGAGGAATCAACCTGCCTGACTTCAGACTAGACTACAAAGCCACAGTCATCAAGACAGTATGGTACTGGCACAAAGACAGAAATATAGATCAATGGAACAGAATAGAAAGCCCAGAGATAAATCCACGAACCTATGGTCACCTTATCTTCGACAAAGGAGGCAAGGATATACAATGGAAAAAAGACAACCTCTTTAACAAGTGGTGCTGGGAAAACTGGTCAACCACCTGTAAACGAATAAAACTAGAACACTTTCTAACACCATACACAAAAATAAACTCAAAATGGATTAAAGATCTAAATGTAAGACCAGAAACTATAAAACTCCTAGAGGAGAACATAGGCAAAACACTCTCCGACATAAATCACAGCAGGATCCTCTATGACCCACATCCCAGAATTTTAGAAACAAAAGCAAAAATAAACAAATGGGACCTAATGAAACTTAAAAGCTTTTGCACAACAAAGGAAACTATAAGCAAGGTGAAAAGACGGCCCTCAGATTGGGAGAAAATAATAGCAAACGAAGCAACAGACAAAGGATTAATCTCAAAAATATACAAGCAACTCCTCCAGCTCAACTCCAGAAAAATAAATGACCCAATCAAAAAAGGGGCCAAAGAACTGAACAGACATTTCTCCAAGGAAGACATACAGATGGCTAACAAACACATGAAAAGATGCTCAACATCACTCATTATCAGAGAAATGCAAATCAAAACCACAATGAGGTACCATTACACACCAGTCAGGATGGCTGCTATCCAAAAGTCTACAAGCAATAAATGCTGGAGAGGGTGTGGAGAAAAGGGAACCCTCTTACACTGTTGGTGGGAATGCAAATTAGTACAGCCACTATGGAAAACAGCGTGGAGATTTCTTAAAAAGCTGGAAATAGAACTGCCATATGACCCAGCAATCCCACTTCTGGGCATACACACCGAGGAAACCAGATCTGAAAGAGACACGTGCACCCCAATGTTCATCACAGCACTGTTTATAATAGCCAGGACATGGAAGCAACCTAGATGCCCATCAGCAGACCAATGGATGAGGAAGCTGTGGTACATATACACCATGGAATATTACTCAGCCATTAAAAAGAATTCATTTGAATCAGTTCTAATGAGATGGATGAAACTGGAGCCCATTATACAGAGTGAAGTAAGCCAGAAAGATAAAGACCATTACAGTATACTAACACATATATATGGAATTTAGAAAGATGATAATGATAACCCTATATGCAAAACAGAAAAAGAGACTCCGATGTATAGAACAGACTTGTGGACTCTGGGAGAAGGCGAGGGTGGGATGTTTCAAGAGAACAGCATCGAAACACGTATATCATCTAGGGTGAAACAGATCACCAGCCCAGGTTGGGTGCATGAGACAAGTGCTCGGGCCTGGTGCACTGGGAAGACCCAGAGGGATCGGGTGGAGAGGGAGGTGGGAGGGGGGACCGGGATTGGGAATACATGTAAATCCATGGCTAATTCATCTCAATGTATGACAAAAACCACTGCAATGATGTAAAGTAATTAGCCTCCAACTAATAAAAATAAATGAAAATAAATAAATAAATAAAAAAGAAAAATCCTGTTAACTGCCAATAAAGGCAGGACAGTTTTCCTTCTTCCTTTCTAAGACGTATGCCACTTATCTGATCTTCTTGCCTTACTGCGCTGACCAGGACCTCTGCTACCACTTCCACCAGTAGTGGTGGAGCAGACAATCTTGCCTTATTCCTGATTTTAGGAGAAAACATCAATATTTTACTATTAAGTACAGTATTAGCTGTATGTTTTACAATGAGGAAATTCTTTATATTCCTAGTTTGAGGAAAATTTTTACTGTGAATGGATGTTAAAATGCTTTCTACATACACTGAAATGAACATCTGGATTTTCTTCTCTGTTCTGCTAACATTTGAACTGAACTGAAAGATTTTTAAATGTTAATCTTGCATTCCTGAGATAAACTTCTTTAAGTCAAATCTGTATACAGAAAGCACAATACAAATGCCAGTAACCTTTTTAAAAACAGAAGAATCACTAACACTTTTGCACTAAATGTCACCTCCAGTTCTATCTTAAATTCTCTGGGTACTTACACATCCATATGATGACCAGCACTCTGCAGTCCATCACCCATTTCTTTTTCTATGGCACTCCACTCACTATGAAGAAAGAGATAAAACCAAAACTGTCATGAATTGGATATGCAATATTATTAAACAGAATCTTTTATGTTTTTTTCCTAGTTAACTTTTAAACAGTATCATATCTGTTTTATTTTTTTCTTGACCATTTATTTTCTGTGACTCAAATATGCTCCTTTCCCCTGAAGTTTAACAACTAAATGCAAGTGAAGGCTTTAAAAATACTAATTCAAAAGTTTATATCTGCAGTTAAGTACAAAGTTAGTATCATACAAAACAGTTTCTGCTTACAGACAACTTTCTCAGCTACAGTGCCTATTTAAATCAACCGTGGAGCTTTCAGAAACTATGAATGCTTGTCCTGCTCTTGATCTACTTAATCAGAATTTCTAGGATAGAGCTGAGGCATGTATATTTTTAAACTCTACATGAATGACTGTGATAACCACACATGATTACATGTCACTATCTTAATAGGGAGCAGAAAAAGACAACTGTACAGAAATACTGGGTGTACCATAAAACTTCAGTAACTTGCACTAAAGTTGCACAACAAAGTCTACTGGAACCACAGATGATTTTGTTACCATTTCAGTGAAATTCCTGAAATAAAAATTCCTTTTTATGGAAGATGTATATATTATAATAAAGGGGGGAAAGATCTATAATCTTAAATACTAAGAGATGGTATAATTTGATATATTTTCTTCTAGTTATTTTTACTTATTTTAATATGGCTGAGATCATGTAGTAGATGCAACTTTGTACCATGTTTTTTCTTGTTAACAGTATTTCCCCACATTATTAATTTGTTCTCAGCATTGTTTCAGTGGCAACTCTTAATTTTTTTAACCATTTTCTGAACCATTCAAGATTGTTTCCAATTTTTCTGCTATGTAAAGAATGTGTAATAAACACCTTCAACTGCATAATATCATAAAAAAATTAAAACACTATGATTCTGTTAATCTGTAGTCTTTATAAATTGTTCTTGAAATATCAAGATTATATGCTTATAATACTAGAAAGGAAAACCCTCACATGGTTTTTAAAACTGTCAAGGAAGGAAAACAAACATAAATAAACATACCTCCTTCTGATAATTTTACTCATGTTTACTCTCAAAATAGTAATAGCAACAGTTAATCCTTTTTTAGTGCTGGCTGTTTACAATATGATTCTTTTTTTTTGGCTGTGTGTGCTACGTCTTAACACTGATATTCAGATAAGTTTCAGATGAATCCAAAATTGACAGAACCACAAAAATACAGAAGAAATGAAAAATGTATGCTTTGTTACTCATAAGGGGGAGACCTTACTAAGATATACAAAAAGTCAGAGGCTATGACTTTATAAAGGAAAAAAAACTAATCACCTGCATGTCAACTGAATTTAACAGATTGAATATTTTTGTATATTAAAAGCCACATAAGAAAAGTCAAGAGACATATGACAAAGTGGGGGGAAAGTTGCAATCCATTTCACAAAGGTATAATTCTCCTAAAAGATAAACAACTCCTGCAAATCAAATAAGAAAACAGGCTACCAGCCCAACAGGAAAAAACGGCCAAAGATACATACAGACAGTTTATAAAATTAAAAGAATAAAATAAAATAGAGGCTATTAATCATCAGGAAAAAAGTTTAACTTCATTCATAATTAGAGTAATACAAATTATAACTACAGTGAGAAGGCATTTTTCACCATCAGGCTGATAAAGACAAAAGTTCACTACAAATTGTTTGGGTGAGGATCTGAGGAAATAGATATTAACCTTTTGATGATGGGAGTTGAATATCTTCCATACAGGGAAATTTGGCAGTATCTACCAACTCAATTATCCTTAGATCCAGTAACAACATTTGTAGAATTTTACCCTACATATATACTCAATCATGTGTGAAATGACATGAACATGAACATTAATTAAAGCACTGAATGCAACAGATTAGATAATAATTATCAAGAAGAAACTGGTTAAATAAATTATGATGCTCCAGCTCAATAAAGCCCAATACAGTTATTTGCTGATAACAATTGTTAAGTTAAAAAAAGCAACATAAAAGAAGTGAACATAGCAATATACACAATATGCTCCCTTTCCATGTTAAAAAAAAGGGGGGGGGGAGGGGAGTAGAATGCATTTGTTTGTGTGTTAATATATACATTGACAGTGCTGCAATACATTTTACTGGAAGGATACACAAGTAACTCAGAAACTGCTAGTAATTGCCTCAGAGGAAGAGACCTGGGAGGTTGGCAAGAAGGAGCAGAGACTTTTCACTATATAAGCTTTTGTTCCTATTGAGTTTTGTATTATATGAATATACTACCTATTCAAACATGTTAAATGAATTATTTTTTATTACTTCAATCAAAAGGACAGAACATTAGGAAGCACAGTCTTTCTCACAAGGAGATATGGATAATAACTACTAAAATTTCACAACTAAAATAATTAACAAAACTTCACAAAAGAAAAGTCTCAAAAATTACCAACATATGCAAGTTACATATATAAGTAAACATTCTAATTTACACTAATATTACCCCAAGACTGAAAAACCCATCTTGCAAAAGCCTCAGAAATTATAAAGTGAAACAAAAAAACAAAAGGGAAGGAGCCAAGATGACGGAGGAATAGGACGGGGAGACCACTTTCTCTCCTACAAATTCATCGAAAGAACATTTGAATGCTGAGCAAATTTCACAAAACAACTTCTGATCGCTAGCAGAGGACATCAGGCGCCCAGAAAAGCAGCCCATTGTCTTCGAAGGGAGGTAGGACAAAATATAAAAGATAAAAAGGGACTCAGGAGAGCTACGGACGGAGACCCGTCCCGGGAAGGGAGTCTTAATAGAGGAAGTTTCCAATCACCAGGAAACCCTCGCACTGGCGGGACTGGGGGAAGTTTTCGGCAATCTAACTGGGAGGAAAAATTAAACAAGGCCCACAGATTACGTGCCTAAAAGCAACTCCCAGCAGAAAAGTACCCCAGACGCCCGTACCCGCCAGCAACAAGCGGGGGCGGGACGGAGAGGAGCGGGCGGCATTGCTTAGGGTAAGGACCGGCCCGAAGACCCTGAGAGCAATCGGAGGGAGCTTTTTTAAACTGTGGGATAGCAAGGGTCAAAATTAACAGGCCCGAACACACTGCCGGCGGTTGGCAAAACAAAGGGACTGAGAAAGTCCAGAGAAGAGCCGGCCCATCCCCGCTGGAGGTTGGAGGCAGGGCCGAGGGGAAAAGGGCAAACTCAGCCCCAGAGAAGCCACCCCCTCCCACCCTGCAAACAGGCCCCCGGTTCCTATCTAAAGACTTCTGAGACCCGACTGGCGGTGCGCGCTGGGGCCGCGGAGGGAAAAAGCGCGCCGGACCCGGGGAGAGTGCGCCCAAGCCTCTGGCTGCCTGAGCTGCCCGCCGCGGAGGGAAAAGGCGCGCTGCACCCAGCGAGAGTACGCCCAAGCCTCTGGCTGCCTGAGCCGCTCACCGCGGAGGGACAAGGCGCGCCGTACCCGGGGAGAGTGCGCCCAAGCCTCTGGCTGCCTGGGCCGCTCAGGCCGGGGAAGGCACAAAACGCAGGCGCAACCGAATCTGCGCTTTTGTGGAGTACCTGAAAACTGGAACCGCACTCAACGCAGGGCCCGCTCCATATAGAGCAGCCGGGAGCCTGAGCAGTGTAGACGGCGAAAGCACTGACACCCGTGAGTGGGGCAAACCCAGTGTGACCGGAACACGGTGAGTGCTATCCACACAGAGTGGTATCTGTCTGCAGCGCCCCGCCCTCCCCGTAGCAGGACTAAACTGAACTGGAGAACCTAAATAAGAGATCACCTCCACCCGCCTGTGTCAGGGCGGAAATTAGACACCAAAGAGACGGCAAACAGAAGCCAAATAAACAAAGGGAACCGCTTCAGAAAGGACTGGTGCAACAGATTAAAATCCCTGAAGGTAACACCGACTACACAGGAAGGGGCCTACAGATATCGAGAAGTGTAAGCTGGAAAGAGGAGCTATCTGAAATGGAACTGAACCTATACTAACTGCAACAACTCCAGAGAAATTCCTAGATATATATATATATTTTTTTTTAATTTAAAAAAATTTTTTTTCTCCCTTATTAATTTCTTTTATTTTTTCTCTTTTATTTTCTTTTAAAATTCCCTATTACTCCCCCATTAGTCCTCAACTTTCATTTTCATATATTTTTACGATTTTTTTATTTAGGGAAAAAAGTGTTTTTTTCGTTTTTCTCTTCTATTTCCTTTCTATTTTCTATTTCTAACCCTATGTGCAAAACAGAAAAAGAGACTCCTATGTATAGAACAGACTTGTGGACTCTGGGAGAAGGCGAGGGTGGGATGTTTCAAGAGAACAGCATTGAAACACGTATATTATCTAAGGTGAAACAGATCACCAGCCCAGGTTGGGTGCATGAGTCAAGTGCTCGGGCCTGGTGCACTGGGAAGACCCAGAGGGATTGGGTGGAGAGGGAGGTGGGAGGGGGGACCGGGATGGGGAATACATGTAAAAAAAAAAAAAAGATACACTATGGTTGTGATAAAAAAAAATAAATAAATAAATTTAAAAAAAAAGAATAATAAAAAAAAAATAAATAAAAATTTAAAAAAAAAAAAATTATCTTTTGCTTTGCAGACTCATATAGATTCAAGAATTACAGTTCTTATGCAAAAAGCTGATTAGAGCTAACTGTTGTTTATTATAAAAGTTTGTATAATGCATACCTGAAAACTCGCCCGTAATTCCCATGTACTTTATACACACCATATAGTCGATCTGCTACTCTCTGGAAGAAATATTCAAAAGAAATTGCTATTAGTTATAAACCGTTCACTGTTTATAAGTTATAAACAGATTACTAAAAATACATTTTATCTTCATTAAAAAATACAAATGTATACTTAGTACAACTTGAAAAATATGCAAAAAAAAAAGAGCTTAAATCTCCCAAAGTCTCATCATGGGGGAAAAAACTAATGTTGTCATCATATTTATATAATTTTTTCATATATATATGTACATATATATATGTTTTAATTAACATTTTAAAATTTCCTATACCAAGAGTGCTAATATTTTTATCCAGCAGGTTAATATTATTTTTAATAGATACCAGTTAAAAAAATAGATGCATAAAATTTCACCTAGTGGTATATAAATTATATAGACAGTCCTTGTCAGGTACTCAGTTATCCCTAACTTTTTTCTGTATTAAATAAGCATTCTCTGAGAGTACAGCTTTTTCCAAATTTCAGACTGCTTCCTTAAGATAAAAGTCCCCAAAGAGGGATCTACCAGGGAAGAGAATATAAACATTTTCAATTGTATTATTGATAGTTTTATACATAAATGCTACACACATGCAATATACTTCCTGTGCTATTTTATCAAATTGATGCCTTCTAACCATTTAATAACAGTAGAATTACAGTTTAGCTCACTGAGATTAAAACACATACCACCCCATCATTCACACACATCTTGCAAAAGACAAAAAACACTGTGTGTGGTAATCTCCTTTCTTCAAAGTGTTATGGACATGAAATAGAAGACCAGAAGTCAATGCCACATAAAACTCTTTAAAAAAAATTTCTAGTATACAATTTCTCAATGTAAATCCTGAAGATGAACTGCCCCTCTAACTCCTTACTCAGTTCAGTTCAGTTCAGTCACTCAGTCATGTCCGACTCTTTGCAACCACATGAACCACAGCATGCCAGGCCTCCCTGTCCGTCACCAACTTCCAGAGTTTACCCAAACTCATGTCCATTGAGTCAGTGATGCCATCCAACCAACTATCTCATCATCCCTTCTCCTCCTGCCCTCAATCTTTCCCAGCATCAGGGTCTTTGCAAATGAGTCAGCTCTTCGAATCAGGTGGCCAAATTCCTTACTCAAATATGAGTAATTTGAGGAAACAGGCATTAGCCATACAAATCTTAACCTGTTCAACACTTCAGCTTAAAAGTCAGTAAACCACACTGTAAAACTCGGAGCTGGTACAAGAGGATCATAAAGTGCTTTCCATCTCTCCTTGACCTGCTATGAAAAAACACACACCTGCTAGATGAGGGGACAGCACACTACTGGTCTACAGCTAGTTTCTGTGTAGTCTTACTAGAACAGTCATACTCACTCACGTTAGCACTACCTATGGCTGCTTTCACAGCAGAGTTGAACAGCTTCAACAAGGGCCATACGACCCAAGCAGGTGAAAATAATTACTATCTGGCCTTCAGAAAAAGTCTGCCAACTCCTGTACTAGACTCCATTTCCAGTACAAAATTCACAGTCTTTACTATGCTTGAAATTTTTCAGGGTTGTCCGCAGACCTCTAAACTAGTTACTCTGGGACGTTATTTCCCAATTATTTTTTGAGAGTCCTACAGAGTGTTGACTGGTTGTTTAAATGGGTTCCATTGTTAAATAAATTTTGGAAACAATGAGATTTAAAGTTTAACAGGTTGTTGTGGTTTTTTTTTTCTACCTGACTTTTTAGATCTTTAACACTATATATGAATACGGACTACTCAGAGGGCGTGATTTGCAGTAGGGACCATCTAATAGGACTAGCATTCTGAAGATGACAAAATGGAAAATGCCATTCTAAACTACTAACTTTTCTAGATTCTTATACTTTGAAAAATCAAACCTCCTCCTGAAAGCTGAGCATTTTATCATCTACCTAAGATACAAAGCATGGAAAAGAGGGAAAGAATTTGTTAAATAACCACATAAGTATAAAAACTAGAGCAACTTAAATACAAAATACATATCCAAAATAAACGTGCAAGAAAAAGTTTTTGAATCCCAGGTGTTTAAAAGTTTTGGTTTTTTTCTTTAAATTTTATCACTCCGTGCAGCAGATAACAAAAAAAGCTTCAATCATAATAATTAGAGCTCTGGAAAATACTCTAGTCCACAGAGCATGACAAAAAGAGGCAAGAGTTCTCATACGCCAGAAAGATGAGCAACTACACAAGGAACCACTCTACTAGAGAATGAGGCAACACAGAGCCACTCAGCAGTTGTTACTGAACCAGCAGTGATGTTTCTGCTATCAACTACTCATGGAAGTAAATTGTGCTAGCCAGCTAAAACACGAGATGACTAGTACCCAGATCATCAGGCAGTGAGAAAAAAGATGAAGCAAAGAAAAACTATAGACCAAAGATGAGCATTTCTACAGAAAAGTAAAGATAAAGATGGCCAGGAAATAAATCATGAATTATTAAAACCTATGGCTCAGTGGTAAAGAATTCACCTGCCAATGCAGGAGACACAGGAGATGTGGGTTCAATCCCTGGATCAGGAAGGTCCCCCTGGGAAGGAAATGGCAACCCATTCCAGTATTCTTGCCTGGGAAGTTCCATGGACAGAGGAGCCTGGGGGGCTACAGTCCATGGTGTCACAAAAGAGTCAGATGCAACACAGGGACTAAACAACAACAAAACCAGATTAATTCAATGGTCACTGGTAATCAAGAATCGTGGTGCCAGGGAAAAGGGGCTAGACCCAATGATTTAGTCTAGACTGCCACTCAATTTCAATTCTGTTGACAAGTCTTTCTTTTTGAAAACTGATCATCTTAACAACTGACAGGAGAGGACTGACACCTAGCAAATAATATGACAACAGAAGAAACCTGACAGACTCATCATATCATCCTCCCCAGCTCTGAATCATTTGGATCTATGCTAAGAATGCCTTCCCTATCCATACTGAAGTAGTAACAGATTAAATGTTAAAAAGGACATAAAGTTTTATGACAGTCTATTAAATGATCTTACTTTAAAAATCTGGACACATAGTTTTTCTTCTGAAATTACCTCCTAAGGAGGCAATGATCATGGAATTTAAGACTCATGACACTACTGCTAAAATCTTTCCCAAAGGAGTTGTAAGACTTTACATTGCCATCACCGAATATTTCATAAACACTACATATTGCTATCTATACAAATGACTACAAATTAAATGTTAAATAGTAGCTCAATAATTTCAGCTTACACAGTTAGCATATTAGCAAAGTTAAGCAATCCTCCTTCCCTTCTAAATTTGATTTCCCCTAGAGAGGCAGCAAATATGATTATAAGAAAAAAGGGATTTGCTTCCTAATCTATAAACTGGGGACAGTCACAGCACCTACTTTCAAAGGGCCACTGTCAGAATTAGGTAAAAATAACATACCATGGTTGGCTTACATACAACAGTAAAGATAATAAATATTAGATCAGTTCAGTTTAGTTCAGTCCTCAGTCATGTCTGACTCTTTGCGACCCCATGGACTGCAGCACACTAGGCCTCCCTGTCTATCACCAACTCCCAGAATTTACTCAAACTCATGTCCATCGAGTCGGTGATGCCATCCAACCATCTTCATCCTCTGTCATCCCCTTCTCCTCCTGCCTTCAATCTTTCCCAGCATCAGGGTCTTTTCCAATGAATCAGTTTTCTGCACCAGGTGGCCAAAGTATTGGAGTTTTAGCTTCAGCATCAGTCCTTCCTATGAACACTTAGGACTGATTTCCTTCAGGATGGACTGGTTTGATTTCCTTGCAGTCCAAAGGACTCTCCAGAGTCTTCTCCAACACCACAGTTCAAAATATTAGATATTAGTATTTTTTCCTTTTGTTTTAGTTTATGAAACATGGATGATCTCATCCGATTATCACAACTCTATGAATAACACACTCACTCATGTCACAAAAATTTATGCAGTACCTACTGTGTACAAGGCAGATACTCTCCAAGAAAACAAACTCTAAAAGGTCTCTAGATTTGCCTGAAAAACTTAGTAAACGGCAGACACAAGTGTTAACTCCAGCTCCTCTCAATTTAAGACTACCCACCCTTTCTGGTTGTTCTGTTTTTAATATCTTAAATATTAACTCTTTAACCTGTAAGTCATTTATTTTTCACCTTTTCTATCAAGACTTTCAAAAGAATTTTTCCCAACAGAAAAGACAACCAAATAATTGTATTTTCTCTTTATCTGTTAACAAGTCATCATGTCTCCAACAGTGTCTAAAGCCTTCTTCTCCTGACACTGAATGTTACAAAAAGGCTCTCCCTGTGGCAATCTCTATGTTGTTTTCAGGATTCTGTCAAGTGTTGGGCTCTAACCTTCCATTTTTAACTTTTATGTTATTGTCAATGATTAAAGAGCCTTTTTCCTAATTCTAGAACAATCAAGATTTCAGCTATTCCATATTTTTCACTGGCATTTATCTTATTTACACAGTCAAAATCTCAATCTGACTCACAGATCAAGTGCTGTCTTTCCTTTGAAGCGCTCAAGCAGTCTTTAAGGTCAATTAAGTTTCTGAAGCCTGTTTTCATAAAGTCTAGGGTAAATATCTAGACCCAGAATTCTCTTACTTGTATAGTACAAGCTCTTTGATGACAAGGTCATTTTCTTTAGAAGTTCCTGTCATATATACCTTACTAACCAGCTCCCCTTGGCTGGTTATAGTTAAGTTCAAGAAGCAATTTATCTTACTGCTTTTCAAGATTTTTTTAAACATAAAACTGTCAGCACATACATTTATTTATTCATCCATTCAATGAATACATAGTGGGTGCTATTTGAGTCAGACATTATTCTCAGGATTCAGCAGTAAGAAAACAAAGCTCCTGCTCTTGCGAGCTCACATATATACTAGTAGAGGAAATAATTAACAGTTCAGAATGACAGAAAATGACAGAAACAATAGAAACCTGCACCGCATTTTATATAGGATGCTCAGGAAAGATAATTTCTCTCAAGAGGTATTTGAACCAATA